AAGGAGGGTGCTATGGGGACCGTGAGGGTGCAGTGGGGCAAAGGAGGGTGCTATGGGGACAGGAAAATGGGTGCTGGGGGAAATGGGGTGGCAATGAGGCAGGGAAAGGGGTGCAGAGGAGGGTGCAGGGGTGGGTGCCACAGTTGGGGATGCTCCAGGGGTGCCAATGTGTGGGTGCCACGGGTGTGGGCACACTGGAGATGCTGGTGTGGGGGTGCCATGGGTGTGGGTGCTCCGGGGGGTGCCGGTGTGGGGATGCCATGGGTGCGGGTGCCCGCAGACCCCTGGGAGGTGCCGTTCGAGGAGATCCTGGACCTGCAGTGGGTGGGCAGCGGGGCGCAGGGCGCCGTCTTCCTGGGCCGCTTCCACGGCGAGGAGGTGGCGGTGAAGAAGGTGCGGGACCTGAAGGAGACCGACATCAAGCACCTGCGCAAGCTCAAGCACCCCAACATCATCACCTTCAAGTGAGCGGGGGATGCTGGGACTGGCACGGGCGTGGGGTGGGGGGCAGGACACCGTGGGCACAGGGCATGGATGTGGTGTGAGGCATGGTCATGGAGTGAGGATGTAGCATGGACAAGTCATGGGCATGGAGAACACCATGGGTATGGGGCATGGACGTGGCATGGGCATGGGGACACCATGGGCATGGGGCATGGACGTGATATGGGGCATGGGGACACCATGGGTATGGGGCATGGACGTGGCATGGGCATGGGGACACCATGGGCATGGGGCATGGACATGGTATGGGGCATGGACGTGGTATGGGGCATGGACGTGCTATGGGCATGGGAAGTGGACATGGCATGAAGAAGTAATGGGCATGGGGCATGGAAAACACCGTGGGCACAGGACATGGATGTGGCATGGGCATGGGGACACCATGGGCATGGGGCATGGACGTGGCATGGGGCATGAACATGCTATGGGCATGGGAAGAGGCCATGGCATGAGCAAGTCATGGGCATGGGGCATGGAGAACACTGTGGGCACAGGACATGGCATGGCATGGACACGGCATGGGCATGAACACACTGTGGGCCAGCTGTGGGCATGCACACGTCATGATCATGGGCTTGAACACAGCACGAAGCAGGGGCATGCCATGGGGGCGCCATGGTCATGGGGAACACCCTATAGAGTTGGGTGCCCCACTAGAGGTGGGTGTCTCAATAGAATTGGGTGCCCCAATACAGTTTGGTGCTCTAATACACTGAATTGGGTGCCCCAATAGAGTGGGGTGCCCCAATACAATTGGGTGCTCCAATACACTGAGTTGGGTGCCCCAGTAGAGCTGGATGCTCCAATAGAGTTGGGTGCCCCAATAGAGCTGGGTGCTCTAATACAGTTGGGTGCCCCAATACAGTTGGGTGTTCCAATAGAGTTGGGTGCCCCAATGCAGTTGAGTGCTCCAATGCAGTTGGGTTCTTCAATACAGTTGGGTTCCCAAATAGAGTTGGGTGCTCCAAGAGAGTTGGGTGCCCCAGTACAGTTGGGTGCTCCAATAGAGTTGGGTGCCCCAATGGAGTTGGGTGCTCCAATAGAGTTGGGTGCTTTAATAGAGTTGGGTGCCCCAATGCAGTTGGGTGCTCCAATAGAGTTGGGTGCCCCAATGCAGTTGGGTGCTCCAATAGAGTTGGGTGCCCCAAAGAAGTTGGGTGCTCCAATAGAGTTGGGTGCTCTAATAGAGTTGGATGCCCCAATACAGTTGGGTGCTCCAATAGAGTTGGGTGCCCCAATACAGTTGGGTGCTCCAATGGAGTTGGGTTCTTCAATACAGTTGGGTTCCCAAATAGAGTTGGGTCCTGCAATAGAATTGGGTACCCCAAAACAGTTGGGTGCCCCAGTAGAGTTGGGTGCCCCAGTAGAGCTGGGTGTCCTGGTGCAACCAGGTGCCCCGGTGCTCCTGGGTGCTGCCGGGCGCCCCATCTGGCCGTGCAGCGGGTGCTGAGGGTGCCGCTGTGCCCACAGGGGTGTGTGCACCCAGGCACCCTGCTACTGCATCATCATGGAGTTCTGCGCCCAGGGCCAGCTCTACGAGGTGCTGCGCGCCGGGCGCAAGGTCACCCCGTCCCTCCTGGTGGACTGGTCCATGGGCATCGCCGGCGGCATGAACTACCTGCACCTCCACAAGATCATCCACCGCGACCTCAAGTCGCCCAAGTGAGCAGGGACGGGGGCTCAGGGAGCACCCATGGGTGCTGGGGTGGGTGCCCAGGGTGGCGGCGTGGTCGTGGTAGGGGGCATGCGCGTGGAGGTTGCATGATGGGGGCTGTGCCTGTGGTGGTGCCTTGTCCTTGGTGGCTGCATGGGGGAGACTGTTGCATGTCCACGGTGGTGGTGGGGTGCCCACAATAGGACCATGCTCATGGTGGTGCCACGTCCACGGTGGTGCCATGTCCATTTTGGGGCCATGTCCGTGATGGTTGTGTACCCATGGTGATGGTGTGTCCACAATAGGACAGTGCCCATGGCGGTTGCATGCCCATGGTGATGCCATGCTCGTGCTGGTGCCCATGGTGATGCCATGTCCATGATGGTGCTGGCATGGAGCAATATCCATGGTGGTGGCATGCCCATGATGATGCCACATCCATGATGATGCCACGTCCATGATGGTGCCGTGCCCATGGTGGTGCCATGTCCATGCTGATGCCCTGCCCATGATGGTGCCTTGCCCATGATGGTGTTGTGCCCATGATGATGCCACATCCATGGTGATGCCATGTTCATGATGGTGCCATGCCCATGGTGATGCCATGCCCATGATGGTGCCATGTCCATGGTGGTGCCATTGTCCATGACAATGCCATGCCCATGATGGTGCCATGCGCATGGTGGTGCCACATCCATGGTGATGCCATGTCCACTGTGGTGTCATGTTCATGATGGTGTTGTGCCCATGGTGATGCCATGTCCACGATGGTGCTATGTCCATGATGATGCCATGGCCATGATGATGCCATGCCCATGATGGTGCTGTGCCCGTGATGATGCCATGCCCATGATGGTGCTGTGCCTTTGGTGGTGCCGTGCCCGTGATGGTGTTGTGCCCGTGATGATGCCATGCCCATGATGGTGCTGTGCCCATGATGATGCCATGCCCGTGGTGGTGCTGTGCCCATGATGATGCCATGCCCGTGGTGGTGTTGTGCCCATGATGATGCCACGTCCATGGTGATGCCATGCCCATGATGGTGCTGTGCCCGTGATGATGCCATGCCCATGATGGTGCTGTGCCTTTGGTGGTGCCGTGCCCGTGATGGTGCTGTGCCCGTGATGATGCCATGCCCATGATGGTGCTGTGCCCATGATGATGCCATGCCCGTGGTGGTGTTGTGCCCATGATGATGCCACGTCCATGGTGATGCCATGCCCATGATGGTGCTGTGCCCGTGATGATGCCATGCCCATGATGGTGCTGTGCCTTTGGTGGTGCCGTGCCCGTGATGGTGGTGTGCCCGTGATGATGCCATGCCCATGATGGTGCTGTGCCCTTGGTGGTGCCATGCCCGTGGTGGTGGTGTGCCCATGATGGTGTTGTGCCCACGGTAGTGGCGTGCCCATGGTGGTGGCATGCCCATGACCCAACGATGCTCGTAGCAGTTGCATGCCCGTGGCGGTTCCGTGGCCGTGTCATTGGCGTGTCATTGGCGTGGTGCTGAGCGGGTGCCCCCCAGCATGCTCATCACCTATGACGACGTGGTGAAGATCTCGGACTTCGGCACCTCCAAGGAGCTCATTGACAAGAGCACCAAGATGTCCTTCGCCGGCACCGTGGCCTGGATGGCGCCCGAGGTCATCCGCAACGAGCCCGTCTCCGAGAAGGTGGACATCTGGTGAGGACACAGGGACCTCGGGGACATTGGGGACAGCGCGAGGACACTGGGGGTGCCTGGCCTTGGGTGCTGGAGCCCATGGGTGCTGGTGTCCACAGGTCCTTCGGGGTGGTGCTGTGGGAGCTGCTGACGGGCGAGATCCCCTACAAGGACGTGGACTCCTCTGCCATCATCTGGGGGGTGGGCAGCAACAGCCTCCACCTGCCCGTCCCCTCCAGCTGCCCCGATGGCTTCAAGGTGCTGCTGCGCCAGTGCTGGTGAGTGCGCCATGGGGACATCACATCATGGGGACATCACACCATGGGGATATCACACCATGGGGACACCCAACCATGGGGACACCCAACCATGGGGACATCACACCATGGGGACATCCCACCATGGGGACATCACACCATGGGGACACCCCACCTGGGAACATTTCACGGGCACCCATGCCATGGTAGATTCATCCCATAAGGAACCAACCATGGGCACCCCACTGTAGGGAAAAAAAAAGGGGACATCACACCATGAGGACACTCAAACATAGGGACACCCAACCATGAGGACATCACACCATGGAGAGACCCCCACCATGGGGACACCCCACCTGGGAACATTTCACGGGCACCCATGCCATGGTAGATTCATCCCATAAGGAACCCACCATGGGCACCCCACTGTAGGGACCACCATGAGGGACCTGCCATTGGCAAGGGGGATCCCTGGTTATGGGGACCCAAAAAAGCCTCAGCACCCTTCCAGCACCCATCTGTGTCCCCCTTCAGGAACAGCAAGCCCCGGAACAGGCCGTCCTTCCGCCAGATCCTGCTGCACCTCGACATCGCCTCTGCCGACGTCCTCTCCACCCCCCAGGAGACCTACTTCAAATCCCAGGTACCTGCACCCTGGACCCCGGCATCTGGAACCCCCACACCTGAGACCCCCCCAATACCCAGCACCCAGGACCCCAGCACCCAGAGACACCCCAGTTCCCAACACCTGGGACCCCCAAACACTGCAGGACACCTACTTCAAATCCCAGGTACCCAGCACCCAAGGGTCCCCCAGCACCAGGGTGACTGGGGTAGCCAGTGTCCAGGGTAGCCAGTGCCCAGAGTGGCTGGGGGCC